ACCAACTGGAGCATACTTCATAAATTCCAAAACAAAGCTCTAAGCACGATCTACAATGCTCAGCTACTGCACTTAAATAAAGAAATTCATGAAGTGCTAGCCGTTCCTTGGGTTCGTTCACAGATCTCTAGACAGATATTAGTTTTTCATTAGAGTTTAACTAAGTTAAATAATTTTGTACATTATAAACAAATTTTTGCATAGTTAAAGTCAATAATCTACAGTTAATATATTCAAATTTAACTTTCTATTCCAACTTCTCCTCCATAACTTCGAGCCATTAAAGTCTGTCTTGAATCGAGACTGTTCCTTCACTCTACACAAATAGCTTCAGGATTTATCATTATCGTTCGGCCTTGTTAGGCAGCGTAGAGCCGGCACAGCCAGGCTTGGCTCAGGAATTTCTTACTAATCAAATTCCCATTAGATTTTGCAGTTTGCCATTTTCTCTCATTTCTTGGCGCTTTGTTTGGCTTGTGAGCTCGTTAAGAGTTGAGTCAAAAGTTAGGCCGGATAAATTTTAAAGCCAAACGAGGCGCTCTCCCTTTTCTATATATTGAGAGAGGGATGAAGAGCGTGAGAGAGAGAGAGAGTGAGAGAGAGAGATGTAGCATTGACAAACAAAGAGGCTACGAAATTAACACTTCCCACACTGAGAGCCTATCGAAGCGCCGCTCGCCGGCGATGTCCGATTTGTACAGACAGACGGACGGACGGACAGCGCTGTCGTGCTGTTATGTGGGCCAGAGTCAAACAGCGCTGGGGCAGGGATACGCCCGTTGTCCAGCTCTGGAATTGCGGCAAACAACAGAGTTTTTCACCCGGATTTTTCTTTTCTTTGCTCATTTTCAATTTTTGTCGTTCAGCTGAAGTCTTTTCATGTTCTCTTTGCCTCGGCCATTGGCCGCTCGTTAAAATTGTCGGCGCAGAGCGGGAAGGGGGCGAGGGGGGCGGGGCAGTGTAAAGGACAATATGGAGTGCACTGAAAGTAGTTGGATGCTAGGGGGGCGGGGGCGGGTCGGTGCATTCATTTTAATTACCTGAATGTAATCGCAGTCATTCCATGTTTTCAGCCTCGGCTCCAGTTTCTTATCCTTGTCGCTGGCACTTGGCGGCGGCGGCGCCATTTTGTTTGTGGCCGATGTCTCCTGCGTGGAGATCCAAACGAGATTCCCCTTGGGCTGTTTAACTAGAATCAGCGCGTGTTTGCCATGGGGCACGTCGTGCTGTGTGTATGTATGTGTGTGTGTGTGTGTGTGTGTGTTTTCAAATAACAATTAAATGCAAATTAATGAACTGCAATTGCAATAAATTCAATTGCGGCACAAAGTGCCGAGTAAAGTAGATGGCAAGGGAGAGATGGTAAGGGAGAGTTGGTACCATCTGGGATAATACCCTTTGGCATGTATGTGGCGTAAAGTAAAGGTAGATAAATGTTGCACAGTTCTCGGCAGGCTATGCAAGGATTAAAGGCTTAAAGGTAGGCAGGTCCATTGGACGAAGAGCATTTCTGATGGACGTCTATTTGTGGAGGGAGGGGGGATTGTACTTGGTTCTGAAAATGAGAAAGAGAATCTGTATCACTCTTCCAAGCGCAGCTCTAGTAGGCAATTTAGCCATTATAGAAGGTTCCTAAAGGCTCTAGATATAAATGTTCTAGAAGATATTAAATTCCTCTATATTCCAATACTTTTCGTACCTTTCCCTACTATGTACTTCTCTCTACATATCATCTAACTGTAGACTCTCTAAGCGTGTCCCAAATAACTCTTACTTTAAATAATAAACACATAACAAATCGAATCCCACTCCGTTATTCCTCACTCTCACAGCTTTGCCCTCTCGCCTCTCACCTGCCTTCTGTTTATGCAACTTAAGTCTTTATCTCGACACATTTAAATAGCCCCCCTCTCCTGCTCCGTAATTCTCCACACACGCACATCACGGACAATCGACTTTTTCCATAACTCAAAATAGTCGTAAAGTCTGGCGGCGACATTATCTAGGCGTACGCCCAGTTAATTATAATCAAGAAACGTATTCTATTTTGGAATGTAAATTGCTTTTAAATCGACTTCCGTCCTCGCTCGCTGACTTTTCAACTTTCTCGATTCCCAAGAAATTTAGCGGAACATTTGCTTTTCTCTTTATTCGTTTTTTGTTCTCTGTTTAGTCTGGCATTTTTATGAGCTAAACGAAACTGGGATACAGCGGCAGTACGTTTTGGGTGGCGCTGTGCTAATGCGCTTAACGATGGGTTGGCGCTCTTCGGGGAGGCATGAACATATATACATTTTGGATAATGCTTAGTAAGGGATACAGTTAGACATGTAGAGATGAAAATTTGTTGGATTAGTGA